AAATGATCCCTGAGAATGGAGTATGATTTCATATCCAGAAGAGAGAAAAAAAATCCTATCCAGGTGAAAGGTAAAATTTACAGATCATGAACTGTAAACTTTGAGCAGGATGTTAATTATACTAAGATAGGGAAGAACACCTGGCTAGCCTTATCAGAGTTTGTTTAAATGGAAGAGGTGTCAGGATTTAGCCAAGACTGAGAAATTGAAAACATATTTCAGAACAAGGGAAAGATAAATCACGTCTGTGGTGTAAAAAAAAAATCCTCTATTTCAGGATTTGTGTGTTTTCTAGGAACTGAGCTGCATTTTTACTGTTTGAATGGAAGTTATTATTAAAAATCTTTTTACCAAAGTTATAGTACATTTAAAAGAGATTGTAGATGCCTGAATTTAACAGGTGCTTTAAGGTTCTGCTTAAAATGTCTGCTTTCTTTTAAAGTCATCTTATTAATACAACCAGAAATGCAAACTCTCTCTTTCTATCTGAATAGTCATCCCAAAGATGTTTTTTTTCATGAGGCAACTATGACCTGGATGATTGAGAATCTCCGTAGATATTTACCTGAATATTCATTTGCAGAGTGTTAAAAGTTGGGGGGGGGAGAAAGTAATTTAGGCAGATAAGATTTGACTAAAAAGAAGAACTGAAATTTGGGGCTTAGCTCTGAAAATTACCACTGAGAATGTTTAGCAACACCTGGTAGGTTTGACTGCTTTTTTTTAAAAAAGTGAGCATCAGTACTGTTATTTATTAGAAGTATGTCAAGATCACTACTCCGTGAAAAAAAAAGTCAAAATTGGTTTTCCAATCAAATTAAACGCGAAGAGTTTCATTGGTTGGATAGATGATAGATTAGGAGAGAGAGAGAGAGAGAGAAACTAACAGAGAGAGATGTGACACACAATAAAAATGAAGAGGAGGAGGAGGAGAAAGAGAGAGAGGAAGAGAAAGAGGAAGAGGAGGCGGGACATATGATGGAGAGACAGACAGACAACAAAGATGAAAAGATGGATGTAGATGATGAAGGTGATAGATAGATAGATAGATAGATAGATAGATAGATAGATAGATAGATAGATAGATAGATAGAGGTGTTTGTGTTGTGTGTGTGTGTGAGAGAGAGATGATAGATAGATAGATAGATAGATAGATAGATAGATAGATAGATAGAGATAGATAGAGATAGAGATAGATAGATAGATAGATAGATAGATAGATAGAGAGAGAGAGAGAGAGAGAGAGAGAGAGAGAGATAGATAGATAGATAGATAGATAGATAGATAGATAGATAGATAGATAGATAGATAGACAGACAGACAGACAGACAGACAGACAGACAGATTAGAGGGAGAAAGAGAGAGATGATAAGAGGGAAAGAGAGCGATAAGAGAGAGAGAGAAAAAAAGAACAATCCTTGGCAATTAGACTGGAGTGTGAGCTGGATACCAAGTCACCGTGATGTCTCTTTGCCAAGTGTGCTGCCACCCACTGTGCGTGTGTTCAGCGAGAGTAAATGCCTTTGGCAAAGCACCTCTGATGACTCCTGCTGAGGTCAGGGGCTTCTGTCAACAGCTCTGCCCAGATGGGAAGCCCTTCCTTTTCCTCTTCCTGCTCTGCCTCAGCTGTTGTCAGACTTTTGCCCATCTGCTCTCCAGCCAGAGATGAGTCTCTTTGCTCCCTGGGCAATTTGAATTTGGTAAAAGGCCCTCCTTTTACAGAAAACCATCCAATTTTGCAAGAACTAGCTAAGTAATCATTTTTTTCAGGCTGTGGGGTGCCTCAATGTCCCCTTTTTCTAATGCCTTCTAAACCAGCGACGGTCCTCAAATAAAAGATATTCAAATCAAGTGTTCTATCTTACAGTGCTAGGGAATGTGTAAATAGCCAGCCTAGATGGGAAACCCCGTTTCAAAAATTGGAGGCTTAGCATCTTCAACCCAGGAAGATCTGATGGAGTAGAAACACCCATGTAGTTAGAGTAAATGCACTTTACAGTCCTCCTTATGACTACAACTGTTGTTGTTAGTTGCAAAGTCGTGTCCGACCCATCACGACCCCATGGACAACGTTCCTCCAGGCTTTCCTGTCCTCTACCATCTTCTGGAGTCCAATTAAGCTCACACCTACTGCTTCAGTGACTCCATCCAGCCACCTCGTTCTTTGTCGTTCCGTTCTTCTATTGCCCTCCATCTTTCCCAGCATCAGGCTCTTCTCCAGTGAGTCCTTCCTTCTCATTAGGTGGCCAAAGGACTTGAGTTTCAACTTCAGGATTTGGCCTTCTAAAGAGAGTCAGGCTTGATATCCTCCAGGACTGACTGGTTGGATCGCCTTGCAGTCCAGGGCACTCGCAGGAGTCTTCTCCAGCATCATAGTTCAAAGACCTCGATTCTTTGGTGCTCAGCCTTTCTTATAGTCCAACTTTCACATCCATACATTGCAACTGGGAAAACCATGGCCTTGACTATACGTATGTGCCAATGACCACAACTGAGTGGTCACTAAATGAACTGTTGTAAAATGAGGTCTATCTATATATCCGAACAGATCCCAAGAAAAATTAAAATAGGAGTTCAACCCACAATCGGTTTCTTTGTATAGGAAGAAGAAGAGGCAGAGCTGAAGGGCGGGATTAAACAGGTCATCAGTCTGGAATCTGTGCGTTGCCGCAAGAGACCCAAGTCCAGCCTTCTCTTGAATTCTGTTGACCCTCATCTAATGCCAATTTAGTGCTGACTGTTGACTTGACTAGATTCTTGTGTATAGGTTGTACAGGCGATCCTTGGCTTACAATCGTTCATTTAGTGAACATTCGAAGTTACATCTCAATTTGATGATCAGGTTGTCCAACATAGAGAGGTATAATTGGCGTCCTTTTGTTATCAGTATTCACACCTGCACTGGGCAAGTTGTAGGTTAGCTCAGTGTTTCTTAACCTGGGCAACTTCAAGAGGTGTGGACTTGAACCCATGCTGGCTGGCTGGCTGGGGAATTCTGGGAATTGAAGTCCACAAGTTTTAAATTTGCCCAGTTTGAGAAACACTGAGTTAGATGGTTGCTAAGATCTTTCACAACCCTTCCATTCTATAATTCTATGGTTCTCCTAGCAGATTCAGCAAGGGAGATATTTCCATCAAGGACAAGAGGCTAAGGAAAACTCCTAGACGTTCTGACTCATCTCCAGTATTTTCTGTTGATGCTTTTATTTTTAGTTCTTTTTATTTTATTGAGGAACTGAAAAATGGAAGGCTATAAAAGCCGCTGAAGCCATCAGCATAAATAGAGCTGTGTGTGCGCGCATTATATTAGGAGCGGAACCAAGAAACAAAAAAAAAAGGAGGAAGCAGGATAAAAACAAGACAAATTTTGAGTTCTCTATATAGATCCAAAATACCATCACAATAGAACAGGAAAAGGAGAAGGAACTATTCCCCAGAGAGCCTGTGGGCAGACTTCAAAAGAAATGTGTACAAGAGTACAACCAAAAATAACTTACAATCTGAGTCCCATCCTAGACACCCAGTCAGGGTCAAACCTCTATAAGATTTTTGGCTAAGCTCTCGTCTCATTGCCCAATTCTTTTACAAGGAAATTCTAAGATTCAGGAGAAAAAGTGGCTTAGCTAAAGTTGTAAAGAAACAGAAAAAAAAGAAGGAGCTCTTGGTTCAGGGTAATTGCATTGGTTAATTATGGCCAGTCGGGTGACAGCAGATATTTGTTGAGGTAGCCCCAGGGTTACAACTGTAGCTGAGCTCAGAATTATGGTCATAAGCCGTGGTGGTACTTAAGCGGGTCACCCTGTGACTGTGTGATGACCCAGGGCCCCAAACGGAGACAAAGCTCTTAGCTGGTCAGAACAAGTGTCTTTGTAGGCACTGCCAATGTTCACCCAACAGCCCCCACATATGCTGGCAGAAGTTCAATAAAACAGCCAGGGAAGTTTACTCGGTTCTTTAAAGTAAAACAGATAACAAGCAAACCTATAATCCTTTCAACTCCCAGCTTGCCTGTGAACTGCAAACTGCAAAACTGCAGACTGCAAGGAGAGATCAGCAGAAAGCAAACTGATCCAGAATACAAAGTGTCCAGATTACAAGAGACACTATCTCAAGATTTCACTTTTGTTCCTGGCAAATGCCCCACCCCACAGTGTCTCCTTAAATACCTACTCCCCAAGTGTGCCTTGTGGAGTGGGGCGGGCCGCTCTTTTCCCAAGCAAGTGAGCCTGCCTCCGTTGTTCCCTCCTCCTCCTCTCTGCTCTCCTTGCTCTGGGATCTGGTGGGGAGGGGCTTTGTTCCTCGCCTCAGCTCTGCCTTCCCTGTTCCAAACCTGAAGGGCCCTGGCCTGCCTCAGCCTGCTCCTCCCCACAGTCCTCCGAAGCACAGACACCCCTTCCTGGGCCTCATCAGGGAACTCCATGTCGTCCTCAGAGTCCTCAGAGTCAGGCTCGGACAGAGGCATGACAGACCGCATCCGATTTTACAACGTTTGTGTGGTGGTGCTTGTTAACTAACGCTGCAGTTGTTAAGCAAATATGACAGTTGTTAAACAAAGCCATTTCACCCAATGGCTGTTTTTTTTTTTTTTTTGCTAGAAAATGGAAGTAAAAGCCAGTTTCCAACAACAACAAAAAAAGCTCCAAATCGCAGTCACGTGACTATAGGTTGTGGAAAATGGCCATAACTGTGGATTGTTACCAAGTGCTCAAAAAGCAATCACATGATCCGGGGGAAGCAGCTGTCAGAACTTCAAATCCAAGTTATAAATAAGCCCTGGGGAGATCTGTCATAACTTTGACTGGTCATTAAGTGCCCGATCCTAAGTCAAGGACACCTTGTATATATTTTTTAACATCCATATTACCCCAGTAAAAAGAGCATGTAAAACATCTGAGGTGTCTACATGCAGTTGTGATTTGGATGGATTGAAGCATCCACAATGAGAATTCACAGACTGGTAAGTCCCAAAAGAGTTAAGAAATGTAGACTTTACTCCAGTGGATTCTGAAAACATTTTATTCGTTTATTTTTAAAGCTCTCTATTTAAAAAATACATTCAGGTACAAAGAAATGGGAAGCAAAACTATATAAAAAAAAAAGGGAATAAGTCTTTGGTTCAGAGGTATCCATGAGAAATGTGCGTCAAACTCCCCCCTTCAAAATGGCATCCACAGCCATGTGATTAAAGCCCCACCCCCTTCTATCAGGCAGCCGCCATCTTAACTTTTTTGATTGCCTTTCCCCACAAAACACACTTGCTTTGGGTCCCTTCTGTTCATAATCAAGGGTTACAGCAGCTCAAAGTGTATTGAAGGACCACAAAATAACAATATTGACAACAAAGAAATGTACTGAAGCGAAATAAGGAATGGCTCTTTTTTTTAAAAAAAAAAATGTAGTGTAGCACAGACCAAGAGGTACTCAATGGAAAGACCAAGAGGTACTCAATGGAAAGAGGACTGATTCATTTCACAGTTGATTCTCCAAACAATGGTCCCATAACAAGGGTTGGATCACAAGTGAGCCTTGGGAAGTGGCTTAAGGATGACGCTTGGTCCGCCATAAGGTGAGCAATTTTGCACCAGATTGGACAACTTCATTGCAAAGATTTACCCAAAAAAGTCTCTGCTCCTCTTTAAGGTCTGTTCTCCAGGAATCAGAACTTCTCCACCTCAGATGTTCAACCATTGCTTCTTCTTTCCCCCACCCTCTTGAAATCTGGGCATTTGCCACTAGCTCTTCTAGTCCATCTTTAGATGATTGAAAACCTTCATCGACCAAGGAACATGAAACCACGACTTCCAAAGGAAGAAATTGGGTGGATTATTTTTTTTTTAAAAAAAAAGCAAAAACAACAAACAGACCACAATTATTTAAAGAAACAGGATGCAATTGAATTGGGGGAAATACACAATATAGGTCAGGGACAAATGTTTACAAAGCAAAGAATTGGAAGCTTTCTCTTTCACAAAGAGAAAATACAATAAATAAATATTCTGCAACTATTCTGAAATACAAAAAGGTATTTTTCCAAAAGTTTATGGCCTATAGACCTGGGCAGCTTTAGCTGGCACTCGCTATTTTCTTTAATAAGCAGCAGTAACACCAACGAAGGTGGTGGAGAATTGAAAATGCCATTTTCTCAAAGTGGATCCCTGCACAAACATGGAATCAAGCTTGTTCTACAAATGGACGGATGGGAAGGAGTTGAAAAGCCACCGGCCAGTCTTCTGGCAGAGATCATGTGCAAATAGACCTTGTAAATCCTAATCTGCTTCTAGGAAACTCATCTTCATTTTTGAGGTTAGATTAGTCAAGGCCACCACAGGGTTTCCATGTTCTTCTTGCCTGATACATTTACTTATGATGTTAATTGTCCAATTTACAGAACCACCCATCTCAACAAGTGACTCTGAGGATATCAATCATTTTCCTTCTCTTTCAGGAAAAGAGTCTCTTCTTCTCCCTTGCCTCCATCCAGATGTCAAGAAGATCAAGAAGATGTTGCTTTGAAGACCATCTGCACTGACCTTCGATCCTCAGCTCTACAACCATCTGAATGGTGAGATGTCTTCAGTAGAAATGTTCCTGAATATCCAGCCAAGTAGGGACATGGTGTGAAGGTCCACAGAAGATCAGGCTTTACTGGATGATCAAGACTATGCCTATCATGTGCAGTAAGCCCAGCCAGAACGATAAAGATGGCACGGAGGCAAGTCCCACTGATCTTGCAAGCTTGTACTCTGTGTCCTTAGAGGGATTCTCCAGGTATTCAGTTAGGACTGTCTGATAGAACCAGTCTTCTCTAGATACGCAGGAATACTTGCCATAGAGCTGGTCGGTCATATTGTCAATGAAATGAAGGCAGTGACGGTGTCCAGAACTACAGTGTGCAACTGGCCGGTCATTATGGAACCAAGTGTAATTAGCATAATGAGATTCTTGAGAGCAAGTCAAGAAATAACGGGAATTTAGAGTCACATTGACATTCTTTGAGGATGGGCTGCTGCTGTTTCCTGGGCAAAAGGAAGGAAAGAGGAAAAAAGGAAAGATCAGTGGTGAGATGGACTGGGTATCTTTGTCTCCTTTTGTGACTATTTCTCATCTCCTTTTAAACAACCAGAAAAACAGAGCTGGAAGTGACCTTGGAGGTCTTCTAGTCCAACCCCGTGCTCAAGGAGGACACCCTGTACCATTCCAGACAAATGGCTGTCCAGTCTCTTCTTAAAAACCTCCACTGATGGAGCACCCACAACTTCTGGCAGCAAACTGTTCCACTGGTTAATTGTCCTCACTGTCAGGAAGTTTCTCCTTAGTTCTAGGTTGCTTCTCTTCTTGATTAGTTTCCATCCGTTGTTTCTTGTCCTACCTTCTGGTGCTTTGGAACATAAGTTGAGCCCCCTCTTCTTTGTGACATCCCCTCAAATACTGGAACACTGCTATCATGTCACCCCTAGTCCTCCTTTTCTCTAGACTGGCCATACCCAATTCCTGCAACCGTTCCTCACATGTTTTAGCCTCCAGCCCCCTATTCATCTTTGTTGCTCTTCTCTGCACTCTTTCTAGAGCACTCTTTCAATCGTGTCACACATGAGGTATTGTGAGGTATCGTGACATTTTTTGCCTTTGCAAAGCTGGGGTGTTGACCTGGGGTGTTGACCCAAGGGTGGGCATAGTCTGTGCATGACACATCCAGCCCACCGACCACCAGTTTGACACCCTTATTCTAGAGTCTCAATATCTTTCAAAGCCCTCAGGCTAGAGTCTTGTGGTAGTTCCCATGAAGTCTTTTTTTCAGGTTGCGAAGAGATTGTCTGCTCCACATCTATTGTCAAGCCAGCCTCATTAGAGGGCCTCTTTTCATATTTGTCGCCAAACCCAACAAATTAAAATTGTTTATTGGTCTGGTCTGGTCTTCTTGGGAAAACTGGCTAAGAATCCCTTCCCTGTCCAAGGTTCATGGCTGGCCTTCTCTGTGGTTTCCTCCATATTATAGAACAGGGGTCCCCAACCCCCGGTCCGTGGACCGGTACCATGCCATGGCATGCCAGCAACCGGTTCGCACAAACAAGCAAGGCCCCATTCATGGGACGCAGGCAGCACACAAAACCACGCATCCTCCGGTCCGTGGAAAAACCTCTCTCGACGGAACTGGTCCTTGATGCCCAAAAGGTTGGGGACCTCTGTTATAGAAGATGCTAATTCTGGAGGTTCAGATGGTACCCTACTTTCAGGAAAAGCCTGAAAACCTTCCTTTTCCAACAAGCTTTCAGCTGATTAGCACATGAGTACCTTCACATTTCTGTATATTTTTAACTGATTATTTCAGGGTTGTGTGATTCCTCATTTGTTTCACTTCACCAAAGTTTGAGGCAGTTACCAAACTTAACGAACAAATGAAACTGAATGTGGTGATTTTTATAAGCCTCCATCAACTTTCAGAATAGCAGCTCAGTTAATGATTATTTCTGTTCATTCTAAAATCACAAACTTTTTTTTTTCTTGCAATCCACTGCTACTTCAACACTTTGTCCGGAGGCCATTCTTTCTAACAAAACCTCATTCCCCCCCCCCACCTCTTCTTTTTCCTAATTTCTTGTGGGCTTTTTAAAATGTATTTTCACAGATTTTTTGCAGGAAACATCTGCTGCCGCCTTCTTCTTAAGTACACTCAAGGTTGTTTTTTTTTTGTGAATATTACCTTCGGATGTCAAGTTGTTTGAAGTAGGACAAATGTTTCGAGGGACATCATGGCTTAGAGACTGCAATAAAGTTCTAAAAAAAATGAAAAATCAAGTTAAACATCATATTCCTTCATAAATTAGGCCCTCAAAGGGTCAGCCTGCTGCATCTTCATCAAAGATATGCAGTAGTTATGTGATTGTTTACATTTGTTTAGCTGGTCAAAAAAAAATAGCTGAAGATTCATAATCAATGAAGAAAATTTCATTGCCTTATTCGGAGGCCCCATTTTTATACATTTTTACTGGGTTGCTAAATTAACCACTTTTCTAGGTTTGTACAATAAACTAGTTCAGTAGCTAGTTCAGTTGAGACTCTAGAAAGAGTATAGAGAAGAGCAACAAAGATGATTAGGGGACTGGAGGCTAAAACATATAAGGAACAGTTGCTGGAATTGGGTATGTCTAGTTTAACGAAGAGAAGGACAAGGGGGGACATGATAGCAGTATTCCAATATCTCAAGGGCTGCCCCCAAAAAGAGGGAGTCAAGCTATTCTCCAAAGCACCTGAAGGCAGGACAAGAAACAACAGATGGAAACTCATCAAGGAGAGAAGCAACCTAGAACTAAGGAGAAACTTCCTGACAGTGAGAACAATTAACCAGTGGAACAACCTGCCTCCAGAAGCGGTGAATGCTCCAACACTGGAAGTTTTTAAGAAGAGACTGGAACAGCCATTTGTCTGAAAAGGTATAGGGTTTCCTGCCTGAGCAGGGGGTTGGACTAGATGACCTCCAAGGTCCCTTCCAACTTTACTACTACTATTATTATAGTAGCAATCAACTTGGTTGGGTTCATGCAAGAGAGAAGCCATTCAAAAAAGGTCAACACCAACCAAGCTTAGCATGTGGGAATATAGCCCATAAGATCTTTACCTGACTTAATGGACCACAGTTGCGTGTATACACCCAACTGAGAAAGTGACATTGCACTTATGTTTTAGAAACACTTGTCTGGTTTAAGACGTGCCATGTCACCATCAAACCAATTATATAAATTATGTAACCTACCCATTTTCCTGCTCATAAATAGAAGTACATTCCTCATTGATCCATCCACAGTAGGGGTCTCTGGAGAGCACACAGCTCCCACAGTTGTTCTCATATGCCCCACAAGAGGCCATGGGGAGCTGCACCACCTCGTTGGCCGAAGCCACAATTAATTCATTCTGCAAAATAAAACAAAGGAGCCATTGAAATGAGCTTTCTTGACCCATCAAGAGATAGTCAACCAGCCGTGGAAAATGGGCAGCCATCCCGAGGTCATGAAACCAATACTTGGCATCTTGGCTAGAAGGAACAATGATAAAGAAGCTGGAAACCAGAGTCCAACAACAGCTGGACGCTCATGTGCTGACTACTCGTTGTGATTGAGTCTCCATGCTGTGAAGGCTTTCTTACCCTTGTGTGGTCTAAAATCATGGCAAGGATGCCTGCCTGGGATTGGAAAGGCTGGATTTCCAGAATATTCATGGGTCCTTTTGGCAAGACGACCACCTTATGGATGCTTCCTTTGTCTGTATGTGAGATGAGGAGAAAGAAGGATTAGCAAGAAGAAAACACGGACATGGATGGTGAGGGGGAAAAAAAACCCACGAAATCATATTCCCTTAATATGAATTAGGATAAAGGTTCATGAGACAATAAAGGTGTATATTATTCCCCACAGTAAAGAGAAGCAGAGATGGTCAAACTGAGTCTTTTGTCCAAAGAAGAGAATATATCTAATCCTGTTTCTGTTTTGAAACTGCTTCTGGATTTTGTGCTTGCAATGAAAAAGAAAAACGAAATTTTGCTTTTGCTTCTGCTAATTAGACAGGTTTATTGTTGTAGAGTAGGTTTGCACACACTGTTGTGTAAAAGTAAAAAAATTGTTATCTTCTCCTGTGCTAAAGAGAGTTGGAAGTTGGTGCCTTTTTTCTTTTCCCTTTCCTTTCTTCTAGTTTTCTATTACTTGCTAGAATTTTCTCTTTGTATTTTATAGTTTGAGAAAACAACAAAATTAACGTTTTGTCAATCCATAAGAATGGATGACAAGACTCAAGTGGACCAGAGAGGCAAGATGACGTTCTCCACTTTGATGGATTTGAGTACATTTGACTTTATAACCCAGGCATGTCAAACTTGCAACGTCACATGACGTCGCGCGACATATGGGAGCTTTTTCTCCATTGCCGCCAATGGGGTGGGCGCAGTTTTGGGATGAAGTCTCTGGCCTGTGGGCCAGCAGTTTGACACCCCTGATATAACCCTTTAGAAAGGAACTTTTCTCCTGCTCTTCCATCCTTGACCAATTCCCATATTATGGTCTTATCCCAGCAATCAAACAAGAATTCTCCATAAGAGTTCTCATTCAAGAAATAGCCAGAAGCTTCCAAAAAAAAAAAAAGATGAAAGTGGAGCAGATGGCCACAATCTCTCATTTGATCACACAATTCTTAACCAACCTCACCCCGGATAAGCAAGAGAGACACAAACCCGATACAGGCAGGCCAGTCACACAGAAAGCAACAACACTCAACAGTATAGCCCAGGGGTAGGCAATCTTGGCTCTTTTATGACTGGTGGACTTCAACTCCCAGAATTCCTGAGCCAACATGGCTCAGCTTGGAAACCTTTCCCTTTCCCCTCAGTATTGCTGGCTCAGGAATTCTGGGAGTTGAAGTCCACACGTCATAAAAGAGCCAAGGTTGCCTACCCTTGAAATAGGCCAATCTCTGCTTAGATAGAGACCTGAATCCCACTTCTATTCTCCATCTGCTCCTCCTAGGACAGGGGTAGGCAACCTTGGCTCTTTTATGACTTGTGGACTTCAACTCCCAGAATTCCTGAGCCAGCCATGCTGAGGAGAAATGGAGAGGTTTCCATGTTAAGCCATGCTGGCTCAGGACTTCTGGGAGTTGAAGTCCACCAGTCATAAAAGAGCCAAGGTTGCCTACCCCTGGTGTAGCCCATCACACCCAAAGCTGTCAGGACAGGCAATTGTTCAGTGTGCAACCTGACATCAAATCTCCGTTTTCCAAGATCACAGCACTGAGAAGGCTGCTGAAGGGAGAATACAAATGAAAATCCAACATCAGAGAATTCCCACTACCCATTTCTCCAACTCTGATTCATAGCTACATCCTCAGCTGTTGCAATCTAACCTTTATCTGGGTCAAACCAAGAGAGAGGTAATCCAGAGAGAGCTACAGGGCCCAGCACTTGCTAAGTTGAAGAGGACAGGTTTCAGGAGTCTGGCTACAAAACAAGGGGGAGAGCAGCTGAGCCAAAGTTGTATACTGTTTGTAGAAGAAGGCACACACACACACACAAACACCACAAATGCCTTTATGTTGAGTTGAGAAGATCTCTCGTACAGCCACAGAGCCTTCCTACCAAAACTTTCACCCACCACTTCTACAACTACAACAGGCACATTACGGATGGCTTTGTGGCTTACCTGTGGCTAAATACAGAACATTGTAGATCTTATTATTTGCTGCCTCAACCTGGTGGACGCCGAGTTGCTGGTAGTGATGTTTGCTGTAGAAGACAATTTTCCCATTCATTTGGGCGGCCAACTCTGGATAGCTGTCAATCACTTTGAAAGTCTCAGGTGGAGTCTTTTCATTTCCTTCTAGACACTGTCAAGAAATTCACAGAGATGATAATAAGGAGATGAATAGAGAAAGAGTTCCATAGAGACCCAACATTACACGCTCTTTGGGCTTTTGATTTACTAAAAGCTTAATCGGTCTGCAGGTTTGCAAGCCGTGAGGACTGGAGTCCTGTTTTCAGAATGACTAAAGCAGTGGGGATACTCAACAGCTAATACTGCAGACATGTCCATCCTTTTCACAAACCTGTCACGGGTAGGGAGGATGGGAGCACAGTCAAATATGTCAGAAAAGACACCAAGAATTGGATAGGTAGGCAGATTGTATAGATAGGAAAGTAGAATAGAGACAGGGCAGGAAAGAAATGGGTGATAGGAAGGAAGGAAGGAAGGAAGGAAGGAAGGAAGGAAGGAAGGAAGGAAGGAAGGAAGAGAGGGAGGGAGGGAGGGATGGAGGGAGGAGAGACAAGGGAGAGAAGAGAGGAAAGAAGGAAGAAAGGAAGAAATGGAGGGAGGGAGGGAGTCGAGAGAGAAAAAGGTGGGATGTAGGGATAGGTAGAGAAATGGTTGAATGATGAAGGGTTGGAGAAAGAGAGAAGTGGATGAGCGAATGGATGGATGGTGAATGATAAAAAGACAGAGAGAGAGATGACAATGGATAGGTGGATGCATGAATAGAGAGACAGAGAACTAGGATGGAAAGATGGATGGACAGATGGATGGATGAATAGTGGAGGGTTCAGAGAAAGAAAGAGATGATGGATGGATGGATGGATGGATGGATGGATGGATGGATGGATGGATGGATGGAGCCCCAGTTTGCTCCAGTGTGACATGGTGGAGATGTGCTTTAAACTGGAGTAGACAAGTGTTCAGAAAAGAACTGCTCCTAAATGTTACATATGTGACTAGTGAGAGAAAAAACGAAAAGGAAAATGAGTACAATGTTCATTTTCTGAAGCTAACATTCATTCCCTGGTAATTTGGACTGGATAGACAGAGCATGGCATGCAATGCATTTTTAAACAAATGCTTTGTTGATACATATTGGAAGGATCACTTTTCCACCCAATGTTCATCACTGCTTTTTACCTGTCCTGGCTTCACAGCAGGGCTTTTTCCACTGTAGTTTTTCAGGGGAGACGTTCTGAAGTGTTCGCTGATGTCACTAACGGAATAGACGCAGACTGCCGAGTAACCCCTGTGGAAAGGAGACACAAGGAACCAGCCTTCCATCAATGGGAACTCTTCTTTTTTATGGCATTTCACATTGCCAATAAAAGTGAGGCCCTTGCCATAGTCTAATTCCATGCCACCAGGAAAAAACGGGGAAGAAGGAAGAAAAGTTCCTGCAAGGGAAGAAGGTTCTCCACCTCCTTGATGAAAGCCAACCCAAAGTCCCTTGGTGGTGATTTATGGTCAAGGAGCAAAAGACTCACCACTCATTGAGGAAAAGCCCGTAGATCTTTGTCTGAAACCATTGGTCCGATTCAACGATAAAGACGTCTTGAAGCCACTCAAAGTTTCGTTTAGTGGCTGAGTCCACACAGAGCAACGTGGCCTTCAGGAGTGTTGTCCACTTGGCTGCTGAAAAGGACCCATTGCCCCCTTTGTCACCCTGCAGAGAGAAAGGAAGAAGACGTTTACTAGGAGAGCAGCAAAAAAAATCTCTCCTGAGCTTTGGGTGGCCCTTCTAATCTTTTTTGGAAAACAGAGAATTAAATGTGATATTTGCGGAAGCCATTTATAGCTCAAGGTCAAAAAGTAATCAGAGATAGTTTGGAAGGACAGCATCTCATTTCACCAGCATTCCCATTCCTTTTGCACAAATCTAAATTCAGATATAAAATCTTCCAGGGGAATGAGAAGATCCAAATTGGTTCATGCATTCTGCTAAGTGATCATTTGTAAGAGAAGAGCAGGCAAAGCTAGAAGGGAGGAGTTAAGCATGTCATCAGCTTAGGATCATTGCGTTCCCATAAGCGCTCCAAGTCCAGCCCCTCCTGAATTCCATTGACCCTGATCTGGTGCCATTTTTGTGCTGAACTTTAGTTAACCAGAATCTTGTGCATAACCTTGAATAAATATTTTATGTTGCAACCTTATGAATGGTCCTGATTCTTTGCTTCTGACATCATTGATTGAAGAAGCCACCATGACTGGATTCATCTCTGGCTCTAAGCCATAGACCCCATTGGCTGCTGCAGAGCCCATAGCAAGCCACCAGGAGGTCACAATGCCCAGTGCAGCCTAGCATTATTGCACCATTGACGCAGTGGTATACCACTGAATGACTTCTACATATTGTGATGTCTGATGCAAGTAGAAGAGCCAAATTGTTTGCATTATAATATGCTTGCCATCGTTCACCCAGGATTGTTGACAGTCGTGGAGGGACTAGTTCCCACCCAAAACTAAGCTACCAACATAGCAAAGTATCCCAAAAATCTTCTCAAAACTCATTCTTGACCTTGCACACTTGAGCCACCCTGGAGATCTTCCTTGGGGCCAAAGGATTATTTGGCCAGTTAGGGTTGTCCTCTCGAAAGAAGAAGTAGATCTTGTCGTTGTAGGCCTCTTCTTGCTTGATTGGTGCAATCTTCACAAACTGTGGATCTGGCAGGAGGGAAAAAGTGGAGCCGGTGAGATTAAAAAGAAAGCACTGAGCCTGGGCAGATCTTTCAGCTCTGAAACTTCACAAAACACGCCATGCCTGGTTACTCTCAACCGTTTTACTCTCAACACATTTAACCAGATTAAGGGAAAAACCATTCAGGTGTATTTCAGGAGTCCCCAACCTCTGGTCCGTAAACCTTTCTCCACGAAACTGGTCCCTGCTTCCCAAAAGGTTGGGGACCTCTGGTGTATTGGATTCACACAGCAAGCTCAGTTAGGGTTAACCTTGGTAGCTTTGGGGCTTACTAAGTTGTGCAAACAAAGAAAACGAGTTAATTTAATCATCAGATCCAACAACACCAACACATCAAACAAGCTAGGTTTTCACCATCCGCTAAGCCCTCCCTGAATCTCCCAATTACGTCCTAGGTCCAACCATACTTGAAGGTTTAGGCAAGAGATAAGTGTTTTTCCACCCGAGAAGACAGTTTAGCACTTCTGAAATCCAAGACCTTCTCCGAGCTTGGCCACCCCTCCCTTCTGTGTCCTTTGGGCTCTGTTACATCAAGGCTTAAAGGCCAAGTTCGCAACTAGAGGAACATCAACTCCCTGCAGTGAGGGAAGCCCAGCCAGTCACTTTTGTGCTGTTTGGAAAGGCCCCTGAGCTGGGAATGGAAAAGTCCACCAGAGGGACTGAGGGAAGGAACCTTGAATCATCTGAGGCTCATCCCCAGAGATTTCCAACTTTCAAGAACTCATCCTCCATGACGTTAATTACACAGCAGACACCTGGATGGTTCTTTCTTGTTCCCTCTAACTCCTCGGGGCAAGAGTTGTGTTTGTTTTAAGTCTTCCTCCATAAGCCCCAAAGCTCAATTTCTATTTGGTGGAGGCTGGAGAACCCCTGGTCTCTCTGCCTGTGAGAGAACCGAGTCTTGCAAACGGGGGAATCCAATTTCCCACAGAGAAGAGAAGATAAATCCCTTTTGAGGTTGGAGGCATCCTTGGCAAAGCCACTCTCTGAAGAGTTATGGTCGTAGCAACATTGATCTGCACCAGTTCTGGGTAGTTGGAGACAACCTATTTTAAGAAGGCCCCCACAATGCCCCATGATCTTCCAATGCAGGGCATCATGGGAAAATTGAAATGGTGGTCTTCAACCTCCTTGAAAAGGAGCTTCTGAGGACTTGATCAACCGGCTGAGCCAACTGGGTTTTTTTGACTAGCCATTCTGCCTTACAGCTAGCCCTCAAGGCAAGTCATGTTCTCACAGCATGTCTTGAAGGCAAAGCAGGAGCTAACTGCACACGTTGCCTTAATCCTCCTTGCCAGGCACTATAACCCTGTCAGATTTTTTGGCCAGGGTCAGAAAGTACAACACTGTGGCTCCAGAACTGCAACACTTACTCTTCATGACTGTGTCACTGGTGTAAAGTTCAGCGGCTCCTCGGACCCGCCGGAAACGAGGAATCCGTCCATTGGATTGGTATTTCCGGATAGTCGAATAGATGTCATTGCCTGTAAGACGAGAAAGAAGATGAGGAAGAAACTGAAAGAATTTCTCACCCAACCAATTCCCAAAAGAGTTCTCACAAGGAAGATATGTAATTTCCCCCGGGGATTCCATCATGGGGATTGTGCAACGAGAAATGTCTACAACGAGCCTTCCCAACAGAAGGACGCGCCCTTCAAGAGGGAACTTGGATTCCAGAAATAAGAAAGATATAAACCAGGGCTTTTCAACCTTTTCACCCATTGTACCACTTTTAGGATATGGCAATATTCGAGTACCACCAGTCGCCTAGCAAGGGGTCAAAAATTTGATGATTAAAAAAAAAGGGAAAAAGTGATAAAGTACAGTTAGTCCTCGATTTACAACAGTTCATTTAGTGACTGTTTGAAGTTACAATGGCACTGAAGAAAGTGCCCTCCAAGCCACAGCCGAGCAAAACACCTGCCTGCCCGCCCAGCCGCGCTCTTCCTCCTGTCCGAGGTTTTCATTGTTGTGAGCATTTCTGTTGAGGATTGGCAGTGGGGGTGGGATGGGGGTGTTTGGTTTTTATTCCCCCCGTCTGCTGAGTGATTGCAGCAGGTTTTGGTCACTTCACATGACCCCAAGACACTGTGACTGTCATAAATATGAATCAGTTGCCAAGCATCTGAATGTAAATCACAAGACCCTGGAGAGGCTGCAACATTCCAGCTGATCGGCGCTTCTTCTGGGCTCAGCAGAAGTGCCAGGATCAGCGCCGAGCTCCAGTTGGAGCCTGGCGCTGATCCTGGTGCTTCCACTGAGCCCTGAAAGCCCTGAAGAAGTGCAAATCAGCTGGAGCTTGGCGCTGATCCTGGCGGTTCCACTGAGCCCTGACAGCCCTGCAGCTCCAGCCGTCTCTTGCTCAGGCTTGTGCAGTGCTGTCACTGGTTCAGCTCATTCCCCTCCCCTGCTACCACTTTTCTAGGATGTTCGCGTACCACCTGCCAGGTGCCAATGTACCACAAGTGGTACCCATACCACTGGTTGAAAAGCCCTGATATAGAAGACTTAAATACTTAAATTATTTAAATATTTAAATTTAAATATTTCAATACTTACAAAATTAAAAGGGGGTCCCAAAGCCACCCCAAGATCTTTTATAACATCATGGGGATTGTAAAACTAACTCTAGAGTGAATTTGGAAGAACAAATGATCTGGAGAAGTTCACTGGTGGATTCCTAACGATGAGCTTTGACTTCATCAGACTTACCATCAATGAGGACGAGGGAATTTTTATCAAGGCCAAAAGGAGCTAAGCTCTGGGCACCCATCCCTGGCTCTTTCTTCCCATCGACCTGCAGAGGACAGGAAAGAAGGTCAAGGATGATCTCCTCAAGTCTCATTTTGCAACTTTCCACCAAGGCCACACAAAAGGGAAGAAGAGGCAACCACGGGCCCTACCCAGTTCCAGCAGGTGGGCTTGCAGGCGTTGGTGCCACAAATCAACACCTTGTCCTGGTACTTCTCGATGAAGGTGAGATAATTGGTGGCCTCCTCCTGGAAAAGAAATGAAGAAAAGATGAAGGTGAAGAAAAGGAAGGAGGAGGAGGAAGAGGAGGAACGGAGGGAAGGAAAGAAGGAAAGAAAGAAGAGAGGGAGGGAGGAAGGAAGGAAGGAAAGAAGAAAGGAAAGAAGGGAGGAAGGAAAGAAGGAAGGAAGGAAGGAAGGAAAGAAAGAAGGAAAAAAAGGAGGGAGGGGGGAAGGGAGGAAGGAAGAAAGGAAGGAATGAAAGGAGGAAAGAAAGGAGGGAGGGAGAAAGGAAGGAAAAAAGGAAAGAAAGAAGGGGGGAGGAAGGAAGGAAGGAAGGAAAGAAAGGAAGGAGGGAGGAGGGAGGAAGGAAGGAAGGAAAGAAGGAAAAAGGGAGGGGGGAGGGAAGGAAGGAAGGAAGGAAGGAAGGAAGGAAGGAAGGAAGGAAGGAAGGAAGGAAGGAAGGAAGGAAGGAAGGAAGGAACTATTAATCCAAACTTACGGGATTTTCACACAGGGGCCTGGATTTATCTGCATCAAAACGTTCCTGTACAAAAGAGAAATGGGGAAGAAATAAGACAAGAAACAATGAAATGGAAAGTAATCAAGGAGAGAAGCAACCTAGAACTAAGAAGAAATCTCCTGACAGTGAGGACAATTAACCAGTGGAACAACCTGCCTCCAGAAGTTGTGGGTGTTCCAACACTGGAGGTTTTTAAGAAGAGATTGGACAACCATTTGTCTGGAATGGTGTAGGGTCTCCTGCTTGGATTAGAACAGGGCCCCCCGAACCCCCGATCCATGGACCGGTACTGGTCTGTGGCATGCCAGCAACCGGGCCGCACAAACCAGCAAAGCCCCATCCGTGAGATGCAGGCAGCACACAAAACCACACACTCTCCAGTCCGTGGAAAAACCTTTCTCCAGGGCATTGGTCCCTGATGTCCCAAAGGTTGGGGAACTCTGGATTAGAAGACCTTGTAGGTCTCTTCCCACTCTGTCATTCTGTTCTGTTCTGGCTAGCAGGCCTACCAAAGGGGTGCACTCCATTCTGCAACAGCTTTCTGCAGGTACTAAAAATTTCCACCCCGGTTGAAAACATAACAACTCATCTCTTGTTGCTGCGGCAGTGCAATTAGCTACCAACACCTTGCCGTTTTCTAAATCAATCCCAGGGGAAGAGATGGTTCAGAGATGGGGAAAAAAGGAAGTCACTCATAATTGTCAAGGGATAAGAAGTGTTTTCCAGAATCCAGCACCTCTGGGGAAGGCTGGATCAGAGAACTTTGCAACTCTCAAGCTAACACTTGGATGATCAACTTCGCCATCCCTTTCCCAGCCTCCTTACCACGTGGCTGGTGGAGTCCTCCAAATTGTAAACGTAAAGCTTGTTTTCTGCTCCCACGAACAGGGAAGAAGAGCCCTTTTCGTGGTAGAGGGTGATGTGTTTCTCCGTGGTATTAAACTGGAACTTTTTCCCACCTATGAAAGAGGGGGGGGGGAAAGGGAAAATTCAGGACTGAGCCCAGATTGAGGAAAGCATTGAAGCATTTCATTCAAAGCAAAACTCAAAGGTGATGATAGAAACACTCAGACTGATCTGTGACTCATGAACATCTGGTTTTTCTAGGAGCTTTAAATCAACAGTCTCTTTCTTGACCAATTTACGCTGTACTGTATAAATAATATATACATCCAGCAGACTATGGGAATCCCCCCCCCCTTCTGTTTTTCCATTGTGAAGGGGTTGATTTCACAGGACTGCTTCGATATTTCAAACATCCCGGTTCTGGATATTTCTTTGTTTTATTCATTGGATTTTTTATCTCACTTTTATTACCTTATAAGCAATTCAAAGAGGCCAACGTACCTAATGCTTCCTCCTCCTTCTCCTTTCCCCATAACAACAACCCTGTGAGATAGGTTCAGCTGAGAGAGAGGGATTGGGCCAAAGTCACCCAGTCAGTTTTCGTGGCTAAGAAAGGACTAGAGCTTACCGTCTCCTTGTGATTGGCCCAAAGTCACCCAGCTGGCTTTCATTCCTAAGGTGGAACTAGAACTCACAGATTCCTAGAACTCACAGATTGGTCCAAAGTCACCCAGTCAGCTTTCATGCCGAAGGCAGGACTAGAACTCACTGTCTCCTGGTGATTGGGCCAAAGCCAGCCAGCTGGTTTTCATGCCAAAGGCAGGATTAGAACTCACCGTCTCCTGGTGATTGATCCAAAGTCACCCAGCTGGCTTTTATGTCAAAGGCAGGACTAGAACTCACCATCTCCTGGTTTTTAGGCCAGCACCTTAACCACTAAGCTGGTGGTGTAATATTGAAGGCATCAGGACAGAAACCAGAAGACTGTGAATTCTAGACACCAAGTTAGCTGGGTAATCTTGGGCCAGTCACACCCTCTCAGCCCTAGGCAGGAGGCAACAGCAAACTGAAATCTGGCCAAGAAAACTGCCAGTTGTTGAGAGCGAACCCTGATTTGAAAGCACCTCCTCCAAAAAAATATAGGTACAATCAGCACACATGGATCAATGATACACCCACGCCTTCCTTTGGTCCCTCTGCCATGTGAGGCATTTCCAAACTGTTGACACGAGAACATGACCCAGGAAAGCTTCCCGCGTCAAATTAGCAAGCCGTCCGCCTCTCTCTTTCTCACTTCCTCTAATGCTACCCCAAGCTGCTTCGTCTTCTGATCTTAGATTGCGAACTGCTCCCCCCACACTGCAGAGAGCAGGTTCCACCTGCAGAATCCACCTTAATTGTTCAGATTGACCGTAACTCTTTCTCCGTTGCTTTGCTAGCTCTCCCCTCCACACAGTGCTCAGGAATTGTCCAGATTGTGAGGAGGGGAGTGAGGGAGAGAAAAGGAGTGGGGAAAAAAAAGAGAGAGAGAGAGGACGGACAAAGCCATTTGCTCCAGGATGGAACACCGTTTCCCACAGTGTTTTTTTTTCTTCTCCTTGATCCAGCTCTCTGGGAAAAGCCAACCTACACACACACACACACACACACACACACACACACACACACACACACAGAAAGAGAACTGGATTTAAAGCCAAGGACCACACCTAACCACGCCACTTGCAGGGGGAGTTAACAAGGAGTTAGATAATAATACAGCTCCCTTGTAAACATCTGCTGACCTTCAATCACCCAGCCTAGTTTGGTTTCTACAGATGACCCCGATCACATCTGTGGGAGGGAAGGAAACAAGCTTTTCTTTGTTCCCGCTTCTCAGCCCCGCTGCCTGAGTTTAGACATCTCCCTCTGCCCTGTTGGATTTTGGCTATGGTTGCTCTCGTTCATTCAGCCCGACCTGAGCCCAGGGTGAGGAGAGCAGCGAAGCTGTGTAGCCCACCTGCAGCCAACAGGTGGGCAGGTGGACGTCCACCAAAGCCTTCTCACAAGGAGGCGCCCAGATGAAACAATAGATAATCAGGCTGGGATAGCCTCTCCTACTCTCAACTTTGTCCATCCAGTTTGGCAACAGGATGAGATAAGAAGTCAGGCATCTAAAATATAGGTTGCTGATTGACTGGGGAATCAGAGATACAGTGAAGGCATCACAACATCTCATTTGCTAAATAATTTGGCTTTTGACTCTCTCTCTCTTGTTTTTTTTTTTGGGAGGTATTGTGTCATGATCTCAAGGGACACAAACAAAGTCTTCTCTTGGGCCTTCTGAGTCACCCGTGATGACTAAAGCAGGGAATCCTCTGTGTAACCATCCAAGGTGGAAGGTAATCTCTCAGCCTGGGTCCCTCAAGGCCTCTGAGCTCTTCTGCTTAAAGCAGATCAACAAACAACTTTGGGGCATCTGGCATCGGACAGATGCTTTGTTGTCAAGAGGGTAGAAAAGCCAGCAGCAAGGGGGGAGGGGTGTCTCCTTTTCAAAGCAGGTGCTGCCTTCTCTTACCCCCAGCCCACAGCGGGGGGGGGGGCAGATGATGTCTTTCAGACCTTGGAGCTGAAGGAAGCTGAACTGCAACACAAAAAAGCATCTTCAGGAGATCAGGAGATATAACCCTTGGATTATATAATCCTTGGGAATGTGGCAAAGATCTAAAAGAAGAACACAACATCTTTGCAAGACTTGGTCGCAGTCTGCCATAGGTGGATCAGCTGCAGTTCTACCTGGCTGATGCTCAGAAACGAAATACGCTGAGATTTACTCTTAAAATTGACATCTGTCCTTGTAGGGCATATTTTGCCCCCTGACCAAAATTCCTCAACCTTCTTGGGGTTTGAAGTTGACTTAGGGTGAGCTACCGAAATTAGCATTTTGATCTGAGGATCATTTTCAACCTCCATAATCCAAAAATCCCCGGGTGCTTTGAGTGACAGGTGCTTAAGTATATAATTCATGCTACTAAATTCTGTCCAACCAAGTGTTTAGTCAGTGGAACAGGCTTGCCTTCAGAAGTTGTGGGTGCTTCATCATTGGAGGCTTTTAAGAAGAGACTTGTCTCAATTTGTATAGGGCAGTGATGGCGAACCTTTTAGAGACCAAGTGCCCAAACTGTAACCCAAAACCCACTTATGCATCATCGGGTGCCAGGTGGGTGTGGTCGATTGGGTGGGCATGGCTGCGACGGTAACAACAGACTGGGTGGGACTAAAAAGTTCAATCAATCAATTCCAACTTTGCAAGATCTTTTTTTTTTCTGCGAGAAGTTTAAATTGACTGATTGATTGAACCTTTTTTTTTTTTTTTGCACACGGCAGCAGAGGCCTAAAGCGAAAAGGTTTTATAAAACCCAGCTGAAGGCCTAGGACTGGGGCGACGGCACACGTGCCCACAGAGAGGGCTCTGAGTGCCACCTCTGGCCCCCGTGCCATAGGTTCGCCACCACTGGGTTAGGGTCTCAAGTGGACTAGAAGACCTCCAAGGTCCCTTCCAGGTCTATTCTGATTGATTGAAATGGTTATAAGTTGAGGACAACCAGTTATGTCTCCACTGCTGTGGCTGTCTCTGGCTCGTACAAACGAAGGTGCAATGTTTGCAAAGCACAGCTTTCTGCTTTGCTCTGCAGTTCGGGCTGATGTCCGGCTGAAAACACTGTCCAGCTGCTGAAGGAGGGGATGTCATGAAACACACCCACACCTGATGCATGAAGTGTTTGCCACGTGCCAGAGGCACATTTTCCAGCATCGTGATCTACACAGAAGCCAAAGGTTAAAGAACACACAGCGTCAGCTGGTCAAAACCTCCCTGTTCAGCAAAGCAGAAAGCCAGGGCTTGTTGCAGAAAGAATGCTTACAAAGCTTTTATTAATTCTTAGCCTCTCGGGTGCATTCCGGACATTGGTTTCCTTTCCTAAAACAGCCAGCTCTGCCCAGTTCCCCATAATTGTGTTCAGTCACTGCTTTTTAAAAAAATAAAAAATAAATAAATCCGAGTGTCACCCAGACTTCTCCGAGTCTGCCAACTCTGATCTAAGACAGCCGGTTAAGAATCCTGACCTTTGACTTGGACAAGTTTAGCAAAAGCCATCATATTTTAATCAAGCCCAGCACATTCCTCCAATTCAGCATGTTTACACCACAGCCCTTCCATGCGCCATTTGAAACATTTTCCCTCAACAGAGCATCAATTCATGCAAAGGAATAGGTCTGGCTTGGAGCCCACATATGCCAGTTATCAACAAAACCACAAGTGGAGTGGACCAGGAGTACCTTCAGCTTCTGAGCTGAGAAAGGCAAGAAACTGCAAGAAACGATTTCTCATTTTTCCTGTGTTCAATTTTGCAGATGGTCTACGAGACGCCCTTTGTGAGTTGTTTAGTGCCCCCCAAGATGTTTGGTACCTGATGCCCAGTTGCAGCTGCCCGTGAGAGCATTGTTCTGTCGAATGGGGAGGTCTTCAACAAAGGAGAAGAGGAAGGGAAGGGGGAGAGGAGGGGGGAGAGAAGGGGGAGAGAAGAGGGAGGAGAAGGAGAAGGAGAAGGGAGAAAGTGAAGGAGAATGGAGAAGGAGGAGAAGAGAGAGAAGGGAGAAGGAGAAGGGAGAAGGGAGAAGAAGGAGAAGGAAGAAAAGAGAGAAGGAACCAGAACAGCCAAGGACTGTTTATTAGACTGGGAGGTCTTAAAACAGTGGTTCTCAACCTGTGGGTCGGGACCCCATTTGGGGTCGAACGACCATTTCACGGGGGTCGCCAAACAACGCAGTCCTCCATTTTTTCCCCCTTTTCCTTAGCTGTGCTACTCCCTTTTATTCTATTGGCTTTTGAAAGCAATAGAATAGACTCTCTTGAATAGAGTCTAATTCTATTGGCTTTCAAAAGCCAATAGGAATTGTCCAGGCTGTCTCTGCCCTGCTGAGCCCGCCAAAAGTCCCATTCTGCAAACGGTGCTGCACCAGTTGAGTAGTCCTCGACTTAGGACCGGTTGAGTAGTCCTGTCTACCACTGTCTTAAAAAAAGATATTTGAAGAACACAAGATCAACCACGCCTGCATTGTTCCTAAAAAAAAT